CTGCCTCCCATCCCTCCCTGGAGAAAAAAAATTCAACATAGTGGAATCCACTCAAAGATCAGAGTGCGCAGGAGAAGCTGGAAAGCTCATCAGTTTGGATGGAACATCCCCTTTATACATTTTAACCCTAATGCTCCTTACCGTACTAGGATAGGCAAATTCAAATCGCACAAAGGTGTCCATATCACTCTGCGATGATCCTGTGACAGAAGCAGATTGTAAGAGGAAGCAAGCACAAGAGCCAAATGACAAGCCACTATAGGCGAGTGATACTTACCGGCAGGTATGGGTAAATTCATAGCTTTGGACACGTTAAGCACAAGATCCGACGTCGTCAGGTCTGGGAGAATCCTGTAGAGGTGGCAGACAGGAGTCAGAAAGCAGCCTGGTTACCTGCGGTACGTCTATTCATGTATTACAGATTGACTTACTTGACAACGCTGACTGTTCGCTCCTCATAGTGACAATGAGGCACTGGTAGGCCCCGAGCATGTGCCTGCTTTACAATTTCTATATATTTCATGCATTCTTCTGCTAATTTCTCATACCTGGCAAGGAAAGAGAAAATACACACAAAGTCTTACATTTAAAATAAAAAAAAGTAATGTGTGTTACCACATGCACACAGATGTGTACGGGCCAGGGCAAAACTAATAAGGGCAAGAAGAGAGAACAGAAAGATTTGAAACACATAAACAAAGAGACCCAGGAGATGGAGCGAGACAGAAAGAAAAGGAGTGGACAAGACACAGTATGGAACAGGATAAATGAGACGGAGGAGATACATAAATCATCATGGGAGATGTACATTTCTCTCCTCAGAAGAAAGGAATAGTTCAAAAGGTAAGGTACAAACTAGGGATGTACCGATACCGATACTAGTACTGGTAGCGATGCCGAGTATTTGGGGCGGGTACTCGTACTCGCCCTAATGCTCTGATACCTAGCCCGATACTTGAGCCTCCGGTATCAGGAAGCAGAGCAGTGAGTCATTACACGTTGCCCGGCTTCCTTATTGGCCGGGAAGCTGGCTTCATCCTCCCTTGTCACCTTGTGAGGGCCGGTGCACACCTAGGCTATTTATCACGCAAAACACAGATTCACATTGAAGTCAATGGAGGCTGCTCACACCTTTGCCGCGCGACCAAAGTCGACTGTCGTGCCAAATGTTGTTACAATACATGGGGTGACTTACTCTACCCTTACAGCAGACCTGATGTCACTTTCCTTTTGGTAAAGCATTGCTGTCATGTCATAGCTGGCACCTTCAGATCACTTTAGGTTTCTTGTTACACACCTGCAGAGCCCCCAAATATCAGCTGTGCTGGTAAATGCAGTTCCCAACCAAAAACCTTGGCTCTGCCCACTCCTGTCTCCTCTAGTGGGCAGGCTGCCCATGGTAATGTGACAGACCAGGAGGTGGGAGAAGATGGTGAAGGAGCTAGGTTTCCTTGCAAATTTCTCCAGGATTCTGAGCTTCGAAGGTGCTTAAAGGAGAACTATGAGATGAGCGATTTTCACTCACCTCATAGTTCTAGCCGACCTGTGACAATGAGACTCAATGAGTCACAGGTCGGCTCAGTAGATCGGGAGGTGAGCGAACTCACCTCTCGATCCTGTCACGGCTCTCTGACTTGACAGGGGAGGGGCTGGATTCCCCCCTCCCCGCTCCGATCCGCCAGCGCTGACTGGCGGAACGGACGGGGGAGGAGGCGGGTACAGCTGGCTCTGCCTCTAGATAGGCAGAGCCAGCTGTCACTCACGCAGCTGGGCGGATCCCGGCACAATTGTCGGGATCCGCTTCAGCTGCGGCATCTCAGTATACCACGAGCTACAGCGCGGGGTATACTGAGCCTAGGGTGACGAGAGGACGCTAGTTTGTGTCCTCCCGTTACCCTAAGGAGAACTATGGGGAAAAGATTTAACCCCATAGTTCTCCTTTAATAAAAAACCTGAGACGTGTGCAGACAGTTGAAGCCGCCAGCTAGAACATAATGGCGGGGCTTTACCATGCTGGGAGAAACTTCAATTCCGTATTAAACAAACGGAGAGGGCATTCTGCACAGTGACAAAAGTGACAGAAAGAGAGCACAGGAAATACAGACTTTGGGTGCAGATAGAAAAGCCGCAGAGGAAAGTTACTGGAATGTGACAAATAGCAGCGCAAGATGGAAGAGAACTGACTTTGCTGTCTCTGTGATGTTTCCCAGGTGAGTGAACTGCTGAGAGGAAGATGTACACATCTGCAAGAAACAAAAGGGACCGATATTAGCACAGATATTCACAATGGAGATGATCTTATGCTAACATACTTGATTAAAAGTTATTGTTAAGAATGAAGATAATGAAGTCTCTTATCTATACGGGTGCCTCAGCTTGATGTCAGGAAGAAGAAGGTCCCCTCACATGTGATAAATAAGACTGTATACATTTAGGCCTCATTCACACGGGAAAAGGCCGGCACGTACAGCTCCATGCTGCATGCACGGCCGTATGGGGCAGCTCCCAAGAAGGACAGGTGCTCCGTGTGATTAGTACGCAGCCCCTGTCCTTTATGGGAGTACGTGGCCGTACGCCACCCTACGCTCACCCGCCCTGCACGTCCGTGCGGGTGTACGTACTTCGAAGCTGACCGGATGGATCCTGTCTGCGTCCAAGCCAGGACACCGGCACCCGTATGAAACTGCACTTGGGGTGAGCGTAGGGCGGCGTACGGCCACGTACTCCCATAGAGGACAGGGGCTGCGTACTAATCACATGCACCTGTCCTTCCCGGGAGGTGCCCGATATGGCAAGCTGTACGTGACGGCAGTTTCCCGTGTGAATGAGGCCTTAAACTGCTGGAAGTAACTGGATCCGCTGGAAGCAGCCCACACAATCACGTACAACCACCATGCAATGAGTTGCCTGCTAGGAATTAAATCCACAAATTGCAAGTAGTTGCTTCTCCCAAGCTCAGTTATGGATCTTTTTCTTGGTTGTTGATTTCCAACACCAGACTTTAGTGCTGAAGTCCGGGAATTAAGCTGGCCATACACCTATAAGTTATCTGCAGATTTTCTATGGTCAGATGGAAAAAGTGCAACAGATTCCTTCATCTACTCTAAACTGTGTGGATGGAGGGATCTCCCGCTGGGCCAAGCTTCAGTATCTTGCTAGTCGGCCCCGCTGGCTCTCAAAACACCTGAACAATGCCGGCATCCAATCAGATTGTTCAGGTATTTGGAACAGAGAGCTCTAGAGAGAAGAGGCGAGTACCTGCAGCCTGCCACAGGTAATTACACCTTTTTCCTCTACCCCAAGACTTAATGAGTATTTAACCCTATCAGTGTACGGGGCACCACAAGGGACATTTTTTGTGTCCCATAGTTCAGCTTTAAGTAATTTTGCACATGATAAAATATGTCTCTAGTATAAAAAAGTAGGGCTGTGGAAATTAACGATTAACCTTTCGATTCTGAAATTGCTTATTTTAGGTTGGGATCCCTGGCATTGACCTATACACATACAGCACAGCAATTAATTAAGAAATAAAATGAACTAGGATCACACTAATCCAGCACGTTATTATTCTGAGTTGCCCCACTAAAGCGGCGGCCATATTGAGTGGGGCACGTGAGAATAATAACGTGGTGGATTAGTGTGATCCTACTTCATTTTATTACTTCATTGCTGTGCTGTATGTGTATAGGCCAATGTAGTTGGATCTGTATGTGCGTTATAATTAAATCGAAATTAATCGATATTTCGATTAAACGAACAGGAAAATTTTAATCATTACCAGCCCTATAAAAAACCCCTCCCTTCCTTTTCCTTCTCTGTTTAACTGAGTCTGTCCTTGGGTGAAATGTATCACAGACTGAAGTCCCAAGTGAGGCTTCAGTGTGGATGTTTTCGGAACAATAAAGTTTTATTAAAAGCTGGTGTGTCTATTAGAGGCATTACATCCAGTCTGTCAATAAGCAGTGCCTACCTCATGCTGTTTCTTGAGCTGTTCAATGAGCTTGTTGTACTTCTCACTATTCTGGGCTGAGACACCACCTTTCCTATGTGGGTCCAGACTGAAATCGGCCTGGCTGGTGGGGGCCGGGGGTACCTGTGATAGAACATGTCAGATGTTAGACCTTACATGGATAGGAGGGTACAAGTACATCACTGCCAGTACCACCTTCCCTAAGCTACCTTGGTGATGTCCACAGGCAGTCCACCTCGTGCTGCTTCCAGCATGGGGTCCAGGCCCTTGGCTTGGCGCAGGAACATCTTGGCCCCTTCTATGTCCTTGTGTTGTTTGGAGCGGAGGGCAGCTGCCATAAGCTGCTTCTTCCTTCCTTCCAGAAATTGCAGCTGCTGCTCAGCTACAAGCAGTGGAGGAGAGAGAGGTGAGTTATGGGAAAGTAGACCAAGGCAAAGCTGCAAGAGATTGCGGGAAGGGGAAAAAAAGTAAAGCAGACAAGGTAAAAGGAGAAAGAGGTTAAGGGAATAGCTGAAGAAAGAAAGTAAGGCTAAAGGCTTCTTCAGCTGGGAGAGATGCAGAAGCTGCCACTGCTCACTACCTTCTGAAAATGATACAGTAAACTCCCAGTTATCCGGCATCCCTGGGGATCCGTAGACATCGAAGAGCTGTAGTTTCTGGTTACTTGAGAGATACTATTAATTCTCAAGCAATCCCCCCCGTTGTGTGTAGTCCATCACAGGAGCGAGCTTGGAGCAGTGGCTACTTTACAACACACACAGGGACCATGGGGAACAAAAGTAGCCCCCCTCCAGAAGGAAGGACAGTGTCAGCACCAATTTAGAGATGATTGGAGGATCTACAGCTGAGTGATACTCAAATAAGATACATTTTGTTAATAGTTAAAAGGTACTTGAATGCATTTTTAAGATTTAACTCCAGAGTTTAAGACTCTGACCCCCAAACAAGCATGCAGATTGCCAAGCCACACCGAAATCAGAATCCTGGTGTGCATACTTGTTCCAAATGTAAACACTATATCACCATCACAGCCAGGGTACTTGTATTTTCATAAGGATTGTTTGGCAATAGCAGTTGGTCTCACCAAAGCTGCAGGAAAAGGGGCAAGAACCCCAACGTGGACAGCAACAGCAAACAGGTGGGAAAGAACAGAGGGATTATGGGAAACAGATGTAGGGAACACCCAATATTGGTGAGCGGATGGTAATGACAAAGAGGGACAAAGATCATGAGAAAGAAAACAGACTGAAGAATATATGCTGACATTTCCAAGGTGGTATAAAAGGATTACAGGGGAAAAAGTGAGACGTGCAAATATAGAAAGCTATGGGGGACGGTGTTAACAGGGATTATGGGACAAGTAAAAGGGAGGACATAAAATGGAAATCTGCAGAACATAGGAAAGGTAATGAGATGGAGGTGAAATCAATACCTGGTAGAGCCATTAATGTGCTACACAAATGTCTCTATGAATTAAATTTGAAGTGCATTATGGCCACTAGATAGAGCGGTAGAGCATAGGAATTTCTAGTGGCCATAACGCATTGCAAATCTCGTACGCAGACACTTTTAATGTTTTATAAGCAGACCCCAAAGTGACAAAGAAAAAGACTGTGTGAGAGCAAAGGCATACAGGAAGAAACATGACCATAGACTGCTCACAAGACTGAAATATGACAGCTAAACATTAACTGAAAGAAAAGGAGAATTGAGGGGCCAGCAAACCTTTTCCAGACGGTTTGGGGCTTTTGGAAGGAGAGGTCTTGGGCGCTGCTGGCTGCGGTTGTGACAATCCTCCCGGGCGAGGAACAGGCTGTAAGGAAAAGGTCACAATTCAGAAAAAAAAGCAAGTCCTAACTAGACCACCTTTATTTGAAAGCGAACTTGTCAGGTTAAAAAGAAAAATCCAAATAAAGCTGCCCCACAAGAGAAGAGCTTTTAAACTCACCTATGCAGTGGCCCCAGTCTCCAGGGGCTACAGTCCGTTCCAGCGCTGCAGTTTCCACCAACCAAACTGAGTGTTGAATGCCGGTTCCTGCTGCCAAGGGTCATGGTTCCTTTCTACATCACTGCTGATTCCTGCAGTGACATAGGGGTCAGGGGATTATATGGAGGAGCACAGTGGAGGGAAAAGGGCACCCGACACTCCCAGAAGTGGTGAAGTATTGAATGCTGAAGACTCTCATAAAGGCCACAGAGCTGGGATAGATGGAAGGTAGGATGACTGGGACACCGGGAAACTGAGTGCAAGAGCTTTCTTGTTGCAAGGACTCTTTATTTGGATTTTGGACCCTCACAGGGCTTAAAAAATCCTCTACCCTGGTGATCTTTTTGTACTGTACAAATAACAAGCAACCAATGTTAGTAGAACCCAGTTCATGTAACCAAGTTAACCCTTACCCACTCAGACTCTAATCCTCTTTGGTGATATGGGGCATCGTGCTGGGGGATACCTCAATAAACGTCCTCCCTATGAGAACCACCAGCTGACACTTTTCCTCAGTGCTGATACAAGCAGTGGCTGGCTCTTGGGAGGAGTTTTTCAAATATTCAAATGTCTTAATGGGTGGATGCCAATCTGGAAGAGTGGGCCTTCCTAGGAAGACTGCAATTGCATACAACCTGCCCTAGCTAACATATGATGGTGAACCTCCGTGATTGAAAGACATGAAATCCAAAAAATGAAAGGGGTAGGCCACAGACAGTCAGGCCGGAGAGGAAAGCGCTAGATGATGCTGGACATTCTTCAGCCAGGAAATGCGGTGGGATCCATCTGATCCATCGGTACAGGATAAGAGGCTGCATAAATGTGCAAGACTGAAGAGAAGGCTGGAGTTCAGCTTTTACTTTTCCCTATTCTATCAAAAAGCTAAAAGTTAAGTCACCCTGAAATCTATAACCCTCATTACAAAAAGCAAAGCTTAACCTTCTGTGCAACGGAAGAGGCTTTCCCTTTCTCATCGTCATCATCATCATCGTCATCATCACCATCTTCATCCTGCTGATTGGCCAGCTTCATTGCCGTCTCCAACACCCCTACCAGACTTTGCTCCGCAGGTACAGCGTTCGATCCCTCGATTGGAGGAAACCCTAAAAATACATAAAGAATGGTGGACATGCTAAAGGTATTCAGCAGCAATCACACACTCGCCACCCCACCACCATCAGTACTGAAGAAAAGAGCAATAAACCCGTGTCTGGGATTACACACACGCTGCATAATTTTAGAGCCAGTTATGTTGGGTAGTCCATGGCAAAATCTTAGTTTATGTTCAAAACATGTAAAGCATTTATATTGCCCATTTAAAAAGTGTGCCTTTGCTCATTACAATATTGATTTTTTAAAAACAAAGATTCAGTTGTCTTGTAAATTCTTGTAAAATAAGGCACTTTACCCTCTACATTACCAATCATAGGCTGGACACTTCATACAGACCTGGTGGCACCGGTAGCTCTGATACATTGACTGGCTTCCCAGCCTTGTGGCTACGGATGGCATCTTGGTATTGCTGCAAGGTGGCACAGAAGGAATATGTAATTAACTTAATTAATCCCACACACAAACACTAACCATAAAGTAATATGCAACATCCTCATACCTAAATGGAGAGAAAATATTTAGAAGACGCCCACACACACACACACACACACAAAGACTTCATAAGACAGGTATATAAAAAGCACAGGGGAAAGACAAAGGCATTTTAATCAACCAGCTAGCATCTTCCCTTGAAAAGCCCTGTCTCTGGTCACCAGTTAAAGTACCGTGGACCAGTTTAATACACATTCCTGTTTTAAATGAAAGTTTGCAATAATAAATGTGATCAGTAATACATGTACTGCAAAAATGCAGAAACACATTGCAGATGAGTTGAGAGAAGAGAGAGAAAAAAAGAGGGGAAGAGAGGAAAGGAGAGAAGAAGAAAGAGGAGAGAATCGAGAAAATGAGTGAGAAGAAAGGAGGGAAAGAGGAGAGGAGAGAAAAGAGGAGAGAAGATAAGAGGGGAGAAAAAAGGGTAAGGAGAGGGAAGAAGAGAAGTGAGAAGTGGAAAAAGAGAAGAGAGAGGAGGGGAAAGAAGAGGGGAGCATAGAGGGGAGAGAAGAAAGGAGATAAATGAAAAAAAAATTGGAGAAGAGGAAAAAAAGAGAAGAAAAAAAAGAGAAGTGAGAAGAAATAGGGAAGGAGAGACGAGTGAAGAGAAGAGAGCAGAGGAGAGAAGGGAGAGAAGAGAAGAGAAGGGAGAGAAGAGAAGAGAAGGGAGAGAAGAGAAGAGAAGGGAGAGAAGAGAAGAAGGGAGAGAAGAGAAGAAGGGAGAGAAGAGAAGAAGGGAGAGAAGAGAAGAAGGGAGAGAAGAGAAGAACGGAGAGAAGAGAAGAACGGAGAGAAGAGAAGAACGGAGAAAAGAGAAAAAGGGAGAGAAGAGAAAAAGGGAGAGAAGGAAGAGAAGAATTTAGAAAAGAAGTGAGAGGAGAGAAAAGAAAAGGAAAGAAGGGAACTGAGAAAAAGAGAGAGGAGAGGAGGGGAGTGAAGGAGAGAAAAGAAAAAAAAAAAAGATGAGAAAAGAGAAGCGAGAAGAAAGAGGGGAAAGAGGGAAAGGAGCAGAGAGAAGAGAGGAAACAAAAGAAACCACCTTCTTACCTTTACAATCCGTTCGTGCATCCGCGCCTTCCGATCATCCCCCTTCCCTTTTGCCTGCTCAGCTGCGCTGCGATATCTTTCCATCCGCTGCTGCAGAGCCTCTAGGAGGTCCTTAGGAGGTGGAGGAGGACCTGCAATCAGGAGGAGATCCAGGAATTGATGTGGATGGCTTAATTGTGGGCTGAGTGAGTGACAGTTTGATAATGTCCTGTGTCATTTCTGTTCCCTGTGATTCTTGTGATGGGTACATTTTTTAAAGTAATGCTCCAGCTAAAATTCTAATTGGGGCTGTTTATACATATGTGAAGTATTAAACCTGGAAAATGACCTGTAAATCAGAACCCGCCGCTCTGCAGCTTGCATTGTCACTGCCTTATCTCCAAACTACTCATTGGACTATGAATGAACAAATAAGGTCCTGCTGTGCTCTGCGCCTGGAACTACTTCCCTTCACCTACAATTTGCTAAGAAAAGGAAGACCTGCAACACTGTGCAATGCAAAAGAGCCTCCCTCTCCTAGTCTAATTACTCATCCGCAGGGCATTAAGAACATTTCATATAAAGTGATATATAAAGTATTCATACTGTAAACATTAAAAAGCAGAGGAAATTAGGTCTCCCACCTTTTTTTAAGTTTTCAATTGGACTTTAAGTGTAGCTGTATTTTTACATTAAAAAAAAAAATGACAGAGTATAAGCACAGAAGCTTCTATAGAAGTACTTCTCAATTTTCCAATGTTCTCAAAAAATATTGAACAGGACAAAAAATGAAAAACCCTCAATAGGTATTAGGCCAGCGTTTCTCAACCTTTTTTTTTTTTTAGACGCGCAACCTTTAAAAGTATGCAAAATCTACCTTGATCCAAAATTTTAAAATCCATAGCAAACCCTTATCCTAGATAGGGGTCTTTTATAGATTTAAAGGGAAGACCCTACACAAAAACATAACAAAATGGGGCTCCACTGTCACATTAGAAACCCCCATTTCTCATCAGATTCCCCCTTTCCCATCAGAGGGTGGGAGGAGGTACAGGCCTGGATGGAGGTGAACTACTCTCCTTTTCTGAATGGATGCCACCCTCCCTGGATTAGCATCGCTCATTTCCATGGGTCTGGTAAAAATCCTGGGTCACCCCTGAGGAAGCCAGAAGGCACCCTGGTTGAGTAAGGCTGCATTATGCCACCTAATTAGCTAGAAATACCTCTCGTCTCCCACCATAACCGCTGCACTGGGCAGCCTGTGAGCAACATGATGTACACCAGCTGATGTAGATACTTCTCTAACTCCCACCCCTTCATTTCTTAGCTGAAGCTCTGTGAAATACTCAATACGCTTGGGTATGGGGGAGCAAATGCCCCTCTCCCCTGGCTCCTATGATGTAGTGCCAAGTGCCTAGGAAGCCAATTAGAGTGCAGACGCTGACAATCTGAGTGTAAACGAAGCACTGTTTCCACTGACCCCATAGTGGAGCTAGGTGGTTATATCTGAAACATTGCTTGGTATTTCTGAAAATTTTACAAAAGTGCTATTGTGTCTTAAAAAGTACCGGTCTGCATTATGGAAAACCCAACAAAGGAGATGATGATGATGATGATACAAAAAGACTGAACGAAAATATACAATATATACTGTACAAGAGACTTCAGTCTGCATACTCAACACATAGTGTGCAGTACTCACCTGCAGAGACTGGAGACTCTGCGACCACTGGAGACTGCGGGACCGACGGCTTACTGGGCGGCTGCTCATCTGCTGTGGACAAGTATTATTAAATGTTTAATTTGCTGTATCACAATATGCAGAGTACATCAGAATATCAGCGACATCCAAACAGAATGCAAATAGCAGAACTATATATGAGAAGTGTGATAAAAAAAAAATGAAGTGTTCTCTCATTCTTGGTTCTCCCTCATTTTTTTCCTAATCTGTTTCTTCAACTCCTTTTTTCCAATCGGATTTGCTATGCTTACCATGGTCGTCTGACGCACCTAACTATGCAATTGCTGACTAATATATATTAGTCAACCTCGGTACTCTATGCATAACTTGTTGTTCTGTTGGCATGTCAAGTGTAAAAGATGTCGGGGACAATCCTTTTGTTCTTTTTGTAATATGCAATCTGCTTATTGCTGTCGTTACTTTTGTTCTGTTTTTGATTAAACAATAACAATTTATTGAATCAAAAAAAAAAAATGATTGTTGACCTAAGCAACCAGCATTCCCATGCATATATTGTAATTAGCGGTGCACCTAAATAAAAATTTAGTCCTCAATCTCTTTTTCTCTATCCCCTGTTATCAATGAACAGGAATCCTCTATACTGAGTGTTCCTGTTCATTCATAACATTATGTTTACTATAATGACAGATTATGTTTACTATATCCACAATCATGAATGAACAGGAAGTGATGTAGAGGTGATGTAGATCACTTCCCATTCATTCATAATTGAGGATATAGTAACCATACTATGTCCTCAATTATTTACAAACACTCAGCGATCACTGATCGCAGAAAGAGTCTCATGTCTCTGGCAATGGATCCAGCTTACAAAAATACTGCTTGGATTTGCTTGTGACAAAAGATTTGGAAGTTGTGTCTCACCTGGTGGGGGAGGAAGACTGTTCAGGTCTATTGGCAGTCCTGAATCCAGCGCAGACAGCATGGGGTCCAGAGACTGCAAGAGGGAGAGGACAGAAGGGCAGTGGTCAGCTTAAAAAAAAATCATACCGAGATTTCCCCTTCTATGTAATTAAGAAGTAGTTAAAGAACTCCAGGCACACGTTGTATTAACCCCTACAGTGGGGCTACCCAGGCACTGCAAGGGTTAACTGCTACTTTCTGTGTAGGTTAAAAAAAAAAAAAAGAAAAAAGTTATACTCACCTGATCTACAGAGCCAGCTTGCTCTTATACCAGTCCCTTCCGCCAGTGGCGTCACAAGGGGGGTGCGGCCCGCACCTGGGTGACACCATTGGAGGGATGACACCAAAATGACTGTCATTTTGGTGTCACCCCCCTCTGAATAGTCGGGCGCTCGGTCACGGACCGAACGCCCGACAGTATCAGGAGAGAGAGGAGGGGATCCGGCGGCATACCTTATCCCGCCGGGTGACTGTCCCCTGCTCTCTCTGCCGGCGTCCATCACCAAGATGGCCACCAGCAGGTATCAATAAGATTGCCGCGCATGCGCAATGATGTTGTGACACCACAGAGGTCAGTCGGCAGGTATCAGAAGATCGCTGCGCGATGACGCCATCGCGCATGCGGTGATGTCTCGGCGAGTGGGCGGGGGTGACACCTGGTAATCGCTCCGGGTGTCAACCTACCTTGCTGCAGTGGTCTAAAGCAGCCCATACACTTATAGATTATCTGCAGATTTTCTATGGTCAGATGGAAAAAGTGCAACAGATTCCTCCATCTATGCTACACTGTGTGGATGGAGGAATCTACTACTGGGCCAAGCTTCAGTATCTTGCTAGTCGGCCCCACTGGCTCTCAAAAGACCTGAACAATGCCTGCATCCAATCAGATTCTTCAGGTGTTTTGACAACCAGCGAGGCTGACTAGCTAGATACTAAAGCCCATAGAAAATCTGCAGATAATCTATAGGTGTATGGCCAGCTGAAGGTCCCAGCGTTATCACGTCCTATACACAGTGTATTGGATGGGAGGATGCCAAAGGACATCCCATCGCTGCATTGTAGGAAGAGGGAGGCAGGAGGGAGCTCTGTGACAGCTGGTCGGCTCCAAAGGATCGGGTGATGGCTTGCTTTTTTTTTTATCCACCTAGACAAAAATGAGCAGTTAACCCTTGCAGTGCAGAGGTAGCCAAACTCCAAGGGTTGCCAAAATCTGTGCCTGGAGTTTTGTTTAAAGGAGGGGACTTAATGTTCACCATAATGAACCCGGTCTGTACCGTGCTCGCTGATCTCATTATCAGTCATAAACTAGATGCGCACACTGTTCTAACAAAGAGTGAAAGATTTCAAAGCTTGCGTGGTACATTGTACGTTAATGCACTTTCCCCCCCCAGTCTATCTTTTCCAAAACAGTGACGGTCCGTACTGGAGAGAGTCCCATCGCTTCCCATCATGGTGGCAGTGGGTCACAGGGGGACTAGAAGCGAGTAGACATTTCTCCAGTGTGGATTTGGCATTAAAAACCTCCCTAGACCAAAATGAGAACTGCAAAATTAGCCCCACTGCAAGGGTTAATAATAATTTTCCCGGAGTTCTTCTTTAAGCACCCCAGGCTCTGAGATATGAAGCCAAATGGGTTGATTTTCTGGCCCTACCGCTTCAGGCCTAGTAATCTTTATTAAATGGGCCGTATGTTTTCCCCGTCTTATCGATGGGTTTAGAATCACCTTGGCAATACGGTAGTACTTGCTGGCGAGTTCCGCGTCTCCTTCCTGTTTGCTCTTTAGTGCGGCCAGTTTATACAGTCTCTGACGCTCCAGAACCCGGGCTTTGTTTCCATCCGCTACTATAATAATAAAGATCGATCAGCTGAGACAGAGAACATGAGCACCACATGTAAACTGCACCCGACCTCTCCACAGATTTCATCACCACACCTTCACCACCACCACACCTTCACCATGAACACTAACCCACCACCACTCCTTCAGAATGAACCCTTACCCACCACCACTCTTTCACCATGAACACCAACCCACGACTACTCTCACCACCACACCTTCACCATGAACCCTAACCCACCACCACTGCTCTACACCTTCACCATGAACCCTAACCCACCCCCCCTGCTCTCACCACACCTTCACCATGAACCCTAACCCACCACCACTGCTCTCACCACACCTTCACCATGAACCCTAACCCACCACTGCTCTTACCACCACACCTTCACCATGAACCCTAAGCCACAACGGCTCTCATCACCACACCTTCACCATGAACCCTTACCCACCACCACACGTTCACCATGAACACTAACCCACCACCACTGCTCGCACCACATCTTCACCATGAACCCTAACACACCACCACCGCTCGCACCACCACACCTTCACCATGAACCCTAACCCACTACCACACCTTCACCATGAACCCTAACCAACCACTGCTCTCACCACCACACCTTCACCATGAACCCTAACCCACCATCCCTGCTCTCGACACCACACCTTCACCATGAGCCCTAACCCACCACCAAAGCTCTCACCACCACACCTTCACCATGAGCCCTAACCCACCACGGCGTTCACCACCACACCTGCACACCTAAACCTCAACCCTCATGTTGCCCCCAACTTTCTGCAGCAAAACAGACAGTTCTGTTTGAGATGCTCTGATAAATAAGTGCACGAGTGAGAGCTCCACCTACCTGGACTAGGAGTGGCTGGTGTTGATGAGGTTCCGAATGTGCTGTTGGGAGTGACTGGTTTGGACGATGTCACTGGTAAAGACAAGGTCACAGGCTGTGGGAGACTCTGTGGTTTGACAGGTACCGGGGGAGGCGCTCTGGCTAATGGTGGTTGAGGGGGTACAACATTTGCAGGGGGGCTGGGTTTTACAGGAAGATCTGGTACAACCACAGCAGTAGGTGGAGCTGTAGGCAAACCGGCGCTCTTTCCCACAGCCACGGGAGGAGGGATGTCATCAGATGAAATTGATCCACCTTTTTTAGCAGTACGCAGCAAATCCTCTAAGGTCTGGAAGATAGAAAGTAGAGAGGTGTATTCATCACTGGGTCAGTATGCATCCCAATTCCTGCATCCAGAACACTCTATAAGGGCTAATTATCAGGAGGAAAATAACGATTTTAGAATTAAGTTTACAATAATCTTCTGGTTTATTGGGAAATCTATTTTTCTCAGCCAATGAATATCCAATCTGGCGTAGGTCAGATGGAAGCTCAAATTATCCAGACATGTATGTCAATCTCCTGAGCATGCATGCCTGGTACAAAACAATAGGGAACAGCTGCAGGGGTGTCTCAAGCACAATCGCTGACTGGTGGCGGTTTCGGTGAGTTGCTAATGGCCACGTCCCGAGAGGGGGTGGAACTGATGGGGTGCCGGTGGTGCACATTAATGGCGTTCTGGCCAGCATCCTGTTGGTGCACCGCCCAGCTCTGGCCAGCGTCACGCCCACCTCACTGACATCACTGCTTGCAAAGAGCTAGGCGGGACATTGACTAGAGAGTCCTGCCCAGCTCCTGACAACCAGTGATGTCACTGGTTGCCAGGAGCTGAGCAGGATGCCGGCCAGAGCATCCAAGTTTGCTAAGCGGTGGGAGGGGAGATGTGTATGGCCCTTAAACACAAAGTGTATCTAAACCCAAAAACAAGATCTTTGATATATTGGCTGGATTCAGCAGAAACCAGACGAAGTTTGAGCTTTGTATGGCCAGCATAAAAGTGTCGCCTTATGTTTACTTTGGGTAAAAGTCAAGGTCCTGTGTACAAGCCTGGGCCTAGCATGCAAGGGGTCCATATGACCACAAAAAAAAAAAATCTGACCACCAATACAGTAGTCACAGTCACCACAATGTACCTGTTCTGCACAGGCAACCTTGGCACTCCAGCTGTCGAGAAACTACAAATCCCATGAGGCATTGCACGACTGACAACCATGTCATGACGCCTAGAGGCAGAGACATGATGGGCTTTTCCGTGTGGCCACAACTGGAGTGCCAATGCTGTCTAACCCTGCCGTATATACTTCTTGGGCCCTCACATACTTCATTTAAAAGATGATGACACATTAACATATCGACACCGGCAAGATAGATTTGTGTATACACAATGGCATTGCATGACAGCTACAATTATGCAAACCACATTGTTTGTTTGTTTGTTCATAGATATATGCTTAAAACGGCTATGCTGCAACAAATCTTACACAATCCTTGACTGAGAAATATGATATACTTTAACCTCTAACACATACAATCAATATATTCAGACTTGAAAGCAACTGAGGCTGTTAATGGAGCTACTATGGAATAAAGAGGTTCATTGGCTTTCAGTTAATCCTTCCCTTGGTTTTCTCCCAGGCAGTTTGTATAACCAGCTTCCAGCACTCTCTGCTCTGGCAATGAGCTGACAGAAGGGTGGTGTAAAGGGGAAAGGAATGTCATAATGGCGAGCATTTCCTTCCTGCATATCCTGTGCCACTGAACAATGGTAATCACTGTTATATGCCAGGCATTGTTAGATGTAATGGAACACAGGTAGAACCACAACCCAGACCTGACATCAGATCTGGTATGGGTGCTTTCTTTTCAAACAGCTCACAATATACACAAAATGTTCCACCAATTTATTGAGTTCAGGTGTCTCCAGTGAAGGGTACAGCATATAAAGACAATTTAAACAACCATACACTTAGGGATTAGGGATCCACCGATACCAATTTTTCGGTTTTGAGTACCAATATTTTACTCGCCGATACCGGTGCTTCCGCTGGCATGGAGCCGGCTTCCCAGCCAATCAGCTCGCCACCTCTGACCGGAAGTTCCCGTTTCGGGGAAGGTATCGGAGCATTTGGGAGAGTACGAGTACTCGCCCAAATACTCGGTATCGATACCGATACTAGTATCGGTATTGGTCCATCCCTACATGACATGGTCAGGTGTCCATATGCTTTTGGACATACAGGAGCCAATTTAAAATGTGTGGCTCCTGCTATCGGCTCTCCAGTAGACACCACTGTAATGTGCCACACCAATGATGGACATTTTACATCCCGTTCATAAAATGCTGGCCACTACGTTGCGTCTGCCATGTCCCACAGTGTTCTCTCTGCTTAACATTTCAGAACTCTGATTTGAGGAGAGGCCGGTCACAAGACTTACATGTCACGTGACCAGGCTCTCCTCCTTCTGACTTCTTTCTTCCTTTTCTCTTCACTCGTTAGAATGGTGCTCCATTTTGGCAGACCTCAATGCACATTTGTAATGCACACCGCTGTGTTTTGAAATTTGTTGAGCTTTGTTTAAAGCAGCAGAATTCTGCAGAAAGGTCTAATGCTGTTTTAGAAATTAAGCCCTTATGACCCATTCAAACAGGCAGCTAGATTCTTGCCGGCAGAGGAACTAGCCCAATCCACACATTGTGTGTGAACAGCAGCGGCCAGTCAGCGAGATTTGTACCCTGTACAAACAATGACCAAGGCTGCCGCTGTTGGCACGTAACCCCTCATACCAGCGGATACGTACCAATAGGGCATCTGACCCTCCCTGGATGCAGTTTGAGTCCACGGCCAGAGGTTCTGGATGCTGGAGTCATGCAGTTTGTATGTGGCCATAGCACACAGCACTGCTGCATCCATATGCAATCTTTAGCCACATCTGAATGCAGCAGCCTATTCACCTGTCTGAATGAGCCCTTCACGTATTTTTAACATATTTTCATGAAGACATTAAAAATAATCACCTGAGACAGGGAAAAAAACAGTAACTAAAACAAAACATGTTAAGTTGTTACTTGCAGTAACAGAAAAACAGAACAAGACAAGACAATACAGATATAAATTATTTAGTCAAAGCTATATTGGTACCTTAACCCCTCTCTCATATCGCCGCGCTTTGGTCCCTTCCCCTGCTTGCTTGGCATTGCCCATAGCTTCCTTGTACATGACCAGGCGCTCCATCAAAGTAGCCTCTATACCGCCTGCTGAAGAAGAAGTGGTCTGAGGGGAAAAGAGATTTTGTGAAAGTAGAATTAAGGCAGTTCAAACACAGTAGAGCATTACAAGATGGCTTCTGCAAGTGGAATGATCATGAGCCCTGCCAACAAATGTTATACTTCACTTGTCACAAAGGGCTACAAGACAATAACAAAAAAACCACAAAGAGAGTAAATGTGCAAATCATCACATGGTGTCTGACTCTTGTCTATAAATCTCCTTTCTGTATCTTCAGGGTGACAGCTGTGCTCTCTCAAAAATTACCTTCGGAGGGTAGTCATACATGGAGGGGTGTGAGCTGAAGGGCTTTTATTAAAAAGGAGAACTATGGGGTTAAGTCTTTTCCCCTTAGTTCTCCTTAGGGTAACGGGAGGACACAAACTAGCGTCCTCCCGTCACCCTAGGCTCAGTATACCGCGAGCTGTAGCTCACGGTATACTGAGACGCCGCAGCTGATCCCGACAATTGTGCCGGGATCCGCCCAGCTGCGTGAGTGACAGCTGGCTCTGCCTATCTAGAGGCAAAGCCAGCTGTACCCGCCCCCTCCCCCGTCTGTTCCGACAGTCAGCGCGGGCGGATCGGAGCGAGGAGGGGGGAATCCAGCCCCTCCCCTGTCACGGCAGAGAGCCGTGACAGGATGGAGAGGAGAGCGAACGCCGGTATGTGTTTGTTTACCTCCCGATCTACTGAGCCGACCTGTGACAGTCTCATTGTCACAGGTCGGCTAGAACTATGAGGTGAGTGGAAAGCACTCACCTCATAGTTCTCCTTTAAGGGGAGAGGATCAGTGATTTCAGTGCTTCTGTTGTGAACATTAGATTACTTGTAGCCTGCAGGCTTGTAGATAACTGTAGCGTACAGCTACAGAGGTCGAGTAAAGTGTTTTTATTACTTGTTCAGAATATGTCAATATGCTACTTTGCATAGTCTTGACATAGGTCCATTGTAAATCTTCCCAACCAATGAAAGTCATCATCTGACTCTACATTTCCTGCTTTCACCAGTGGCTGCTATATCGCCCCAAATATTTGTGGACACCTGACCATCACACCTACTATACGGCCAAAAATACATGAACAAATCCAAGGATGATGGTGTTCACTGGTTTCCAGTGGAGGTTACTGGTAATGCTACAATATACAATTATATTGAAGGTACAATCCGAAACAATAAGCAAATCCTGGCAAAAGGACAATTGGATGAACACCTGTACAGGCTCATCACCAGAGACGAACAAGTCAAGACAGCCACTCATAATCCACACAACAAATGTCTCCACCTATGGCACAGACGACTGGGGCACCGAAACCCAGAGGCCATCAAAGATATTATAAAAGAGATTTATCAGAAGATATAACCATATTGCCCTGCCAAATGACCATGACATGCAAATGCCGTATGGAAGCAAAGGTCACACATACCCCACTTCCACAACTTGATTCAGCATTCCTCAAGATCTCACCTAAACACATAACCAACAGTGGAAGGGGGTGGTAGGGTAGACAAATGGTTATCCATAATGATTGTTTTGGAATAGATGTCCAACAAGCTCATATAGGTGTGATTATTATTATACAGGATTTATATAGCGCCAACAATTTGCTCAGCGCTTTACAAAATAGTGGAGACAGTACAGTTACAATACAGTTTCAGAACAATAGGGTTGGGAGTGTTGGTCATGTGTACACAAACCTTTGGCTAAATTGTGTACTATGTGGTACATACCACATTGACCGCACCAATGAGATGTTGGTCTATCGCTAACAAGGAGAGATGCTGTGGCATTCAGGGCCAGCGAGGGAGTGACACCCATTATTATAAGGAGTTTCTTCATCTTTCTGAATGGTCACACTTTCCTTTGCCTGATAAAGGAACCATATACAGTACCGAAACATTGCATCTACTGTATATGTCATACGATGTTTATCTGACCTTAATAAACTACGGGAAGATAAAGTGGACCCTGGGGTGCTGGTGGCTTATCTTTCTACATGTTCATCTGCACGGCGCCATCCGTAGCTACTCTTAGCACCCGCTAAAGCATTGTGAATGGGAATTCCGGTAAGGAGTGCGATGGGATCATTTCTGAGTTGCTGTATTCAGGTCCCTTATTCTAGGCTTCGGTTACACATTGAAAAGGATTCCCACTGCCTTGAGGCTAAGGTGAAAAAATATTCCTTAAAGTTTACAAAATAGTGGAGATTAAACCTTAAAAATACATTCAAGTACCTAAACTATGAACAAAAATGTATCTTATTTGTGTATCACTCGGCTGTAGATCCTCAAATCATCTCTGAATTGGTGCTGACACTGTCCTTCCTTCTGGAGGGGGGCTACTTTTGTTCCCCATGGTCCCTGTGTGTGTTGTAAAGTAGTCACCGCTCCAAGCTCACTCCAGGGATGGACTACAATCTCACATCTAGTGTACTAATTTGTATTGAGATTGTAGTCTATCCCGGGAGCGAGCTCAGAGGGGTGACTACTTTACAACACACACAGGGACCATGGGGAACAAAAATAGGACAGTCTCTACACCAATTCAGAGATGATTGGAGGATCTACAGCCGAGTGATACACAAATAAGATACATTGTTGTTAATAGTTAAGGTACTTAAATGTATTTTTAAGATTTAAAAGAGAACTATGGGGTCAGTGTTTTTCTCCCATAGTTCTCTTAAGGGTCACGGGAGGACATATAGTAGCGTCCTCCCGAGACCCAAAGCTCAGTATATAGCTGGCTACAGCTTGCGGTATACTGAGACCACCGCAGCCGGGACAGATCCCGACATTACTGTTGAGACCTGCCCAGCTGCGTGAGTGACAGCTGGCTCTGCCTATCTAGAGGCAGAGCCAGCTGTGCCCGCCCCCTCCCCGTCTGTTCCTCCAGTCAGCGATGGAGGATCCAAGAGGGGAGGGGGGAATCCCTGCAGGGAGCGGTGGCTGACAGTCACCGCTCTCTGCAGGGAGGTGATCGAGAAGCGAGCGAGCGACAGTATGCGTTCGCTCACTTCCCGGTCTATAGAGCTGACGTGTGACACTTTCATTGTCACACATCGGCTCGAACTATGAGGATGGGTGATTTTCACTCACCTCATAGTTCTCCTTTAACTCTTGAGTTTAGGGTCACTGTAAAAAGAGAGTGATACTGTGCATTGAATACACCATTTTATACAGCGTCTTATTTCTACTACAAAGTGCAAGTAGGCTTTATACGTTCAGAGATGTGGTTGTACCTTTGTAGGAGGCGATATAATCTGGGGTTCCTCTTTTTCCTCTCCCAAGACTTCCTCCAGTTCTGCCTGTGACATAAGATAGTGATAATGAATTGGTGATAACTATGACTCTTTTCCTGTCTAGGTAACCAGGGACCACTTATGTTTTATAACAACAAAAAGCAGAGACAACCACATGCTTGTAGATGGGCACGGTCTGCCTCTCAAGAAGGGGGCTGGAATGCATCTTTATTCTAGCAGTTATCCACACAGACACATTCACATTGGACAGCTAACCTGCACTGAAATGTTATCAATATGAGAAAAATAATTACTATCTACAGACCATCTATCAAATAATTATATAAATATGTGCATGTAACTAATCAATCCCCCAAAAAAACACTTCCCAACGTGCATTTAAATCAACACAATGACTTCCAGGGCTGCTGTGCCGGAGACATGTCCACTTCAGACACCGATTCCAGCATTGTACTTCTCAGATCGTACCATCAAATCTTCATCGTCTTCCACATCTTCATCAACATTCTCATCGACATCCTGCATGCAGAGAGCTGCCATCCGTTCGATGTGTTCCATGGGGAGAGGAGCTACAGGGTAGGAGGAGAAAAGAAGAAAATAGTGAAAAAGGAGAAGAAGAAGAGGAGAGCTACTTAAAGGAGAACTATGAGGTGAGTGAAAATCACTCATCCTCATAGTTTGAGCCGGCGTGTGACAATTAGACTGTCACAGGTCGGCTCAATAGATGGGGGAAGAGAGCGAACACATACCGTCCCTCGGTCACTTCACGATCAACTCCCTGCAGAGAGTCGTGACTGTCACTCACCGCTCCCTGCAGGGATTCCCCCCTCCCCGCTATGATCCTCCAGCGCTGACTGGAGGAACGGACCGGGAAGGGGGCGGTACAGCTGGCTCTGCTTCTAGATAGGCCGAGCCCCGCTGTCACTCACGCAGCTGGGTGGATCGTGACAGTAATGTGGGGATCCGTCCTGGCTGCGGCGTCTCAGTATACCGCGAGCTGTAGCTCCCGGTATACTGAGCTTTGGGTCACGGGAGGACGCTAGTATATGTCCCCCCGTGACCCTTAAGAGAACTATGGGGAAAAACACTTATCCCATAGTTCTCTTTTAACAAACAGCTTTTACACAACACACCTGACCTCTAGTAATTTGCACACATATATGCATTTTACTATATCAAAATATGTGTCCTCTACAATTGTGTCAGTGTACATCACCCTTTGTTACAAGGACTAGGTGGAAAGTGATTGCTCCATAGCTAGGAGTCTTATTTTTAAATATGGAGATTACAATTTGGTTACCCATTTGCAGGGCCGTCCCTATAATGAGATAGTCTGAGGCTGTTGCCTCAGGCGGCATCTGTTTGGGTCACCAGGCAGAGTGGCATGGCCGCTCTGGTGCACAATATTTGCAGTGTGCCTGCCACCCCCTTTCCGGCCAGAGCATCCCAGGTTGCTAAGAGCTGGGCGAGGAGATGTGTAAGGGCCATACACATCTCCCCACCCAGTTCCCCAGCTCTCACCAACCTGGGATGCTCGGGCTGGTGTCCCGATCAGCTCCTGGCAACCAGTGATGTCACTGTTACCAGGAGCTGAGTGGGACGCTCTGGCCGGTGTATAGCGCAACCCCAATGCACCACCAGCACCCCTATATCAACCAGATGGCGAAAAGCCTAGGGATGCCCCTGCTTATTTGTACTTGGTTAGGTCTTATTGTTTTAAATGCCTTTGCAACAATCTTAGCAGCGGACCACCATCATCTTATCTCCCTGGGTGGCTCTAACCTGCAGAAAGAAGCTAGTCATGTAGCAGATATGACAGGTGAGTGGTCACCTCATGTGTCTGTATAGCTGGAGAACACACAGGGGGGGAGGGGGGGGGAGTCATAAAAACTGGAGCAGCAAGTGACAATTAGACTGTCACAGGTCGGCTCAATAGATGGGGGAAGAGAGCGAACACATACCGTCCCTCGGTCACTTCACGATCAACTCCCTGCAGAGAGTCGTGACTGTCACTCACCGCTCCCTGCAGGGATTCCCCCCTCCCCGCTATGATCCTCCAGCGCTGACTGGAGGAACGGACCGGGAAGGGGGCGGTACAGCTGGCTCTGCTTCTAGATAGGCCGAGCCCCGCTGTCACTCACGCAGCTGGGTGGATCGTGACAGTAATGTGGGGATCCGTCCTGGCTGCGGCGTCTCAGTATACCGCGAGCTGTAGCTCCCGGTATACTGAGCTTTGGGTCACGGGAGGACGCTAGTATATGTCCCCCCGTGACCCTTAAGAGAACTATGGGGAAAAACACTTATCCCATAGTTCTCTTTTAACAAACAGCTTTTACACAACACACCTGACCTCTAGTAATTTGCACACATATATGCATTTTACTATATCAAAATATGTGTCCTCTACAATTGTGTCAGTGTACATCACCCTTTGTTACAAGGACTAGGTGGAAAGTGATTGCTCCATAGCTAGGAGTCTTATTTTTAAATATGGAGATTACAATTTGGTTACCCATTTGCAGGGCCGTCCCTATAATGAGATAGTCTGAGGCTGTTGCCTCAGGCGGCATCTGTTTGGGTCACCAGGCAGAGTGGCATGGCCGCTCTGGTGCACAATATTTGCAGTGTGCCTGCCACCCCCTTTCCGGCCAGAGCATCCCAGGTTGCTAAGAGCTGGGCGAGGAGATGTGTAAGGGCCATACACATCTCCCCACCCAGTTCCCCAGCTCTCACCAACCTGGGATGCTCGGGCTGGTGTCCCGATCAGCTCCTGGCAACCAGTGATGTCACTGTTACCAGGAGCTGAGTGGGACGCTCTGGCCGGTGTATAGCGCAACCCCAATGCACCACCAGCACCCCTATATCAACCAGATGGCGAAAAGCCTAGGGATGCCCCTGCTTATTTGTACTTGGTTAGGTCTTATTGTTTTAAATGCCTTTGCAACAATCTTAGCAGCGGACCACCATCATCTTATCTCCCTGGGTGGCTCTAACCTGCAGAAAGAAGCTAGTCATGTAGCAGATATGACAGGTGAGTGGTCACCTCATGTGTCTGTATAGCTGGAAAACACACAGGGGGGGAGGGGGGGGGATTCATAAAAACTGGAGCAGACAGAATCTGGAGCAGTTGCCCATGGCAACCAATCAGCTTCACTTTTCAGTTTGTTGAGTTAAGCTTTGGTTGCCACGGACAACTGCTCCAGATTCTGTCTGCTCCAGTTTTTTTGAATTCCCCCCACAGGGTCGTTCCAAGTCCTAGTGACACTGCCACTGCATGAAAAGGTGCTTATGCGGCATAAAAGCTTCCATCCTCTGGTACCCACTATGGAATTTTGGGGATGAGGGGCCCCCCCTCTACGCTACAGCAATGCCTGGATCCCATGGATAAGCAGGCTTTGTGTGATGTATGTATTTCATGCCTTCAGCTTTGGCTGGAGGATTGCACAATGACCACTGAACGCGGTACATCGCTCACTCACTCTTTCCTTTGGGTTTTTGGTTGTTGGCCGCTTTGTTCCCTCCTGTGATGGCCAGCAGCTCGGCTTCCAGACCTGTATCATCGTCAGAGTCGCCATCTTCAGGAAAACCCAGGAGAAAGGGTGCCTGTGTGGAAGACAGAGTGGGAAATCATAACATAGAGAGGCCAAAAACTACAATCTAAATGAAGATTAGAAGCCAGGTAAAGCAATGAGCTGCTGAAATCACTAAATATAAGCCGGTAACACTGACTTCCTTCGCTTGTAAGCCTGACACCCCTATAAATGATGCATCTGCTGCCTCCTCCACATCACACTGGCAGCACTGCGGATACAGAAAAGCATTTAAAGCTTGCTGTGGCAATGCTGCATCAGCAGGTAATGTACAGAGACAGGTAGGAACTTCATAGTCACAACATGATGACATGAAGGATGACAGACAGGTGGTGAAGCAGCAGCAGGTAATGGGACCTCAAGGTGACAGAGGACACTACGATGACAAGGAGCCACATCAACACAGACAATAAGAGGGTGACACAGGAACAACAAAGCCACAGGTAAAGGATACTGCAGACATGGCGGTAGGTAAGGGATTCTGCAAGAGTATGGTCACAGGGGAGGGACTCTGCCGGGAGCTGATGTGGCGTCACGGTCACAGGTAAGGGAAGTTGCAGGGATGCAGTCACAGAAAAGGGAGGACTGGGCGCAGTGGCGTTCCGTATTTGCGACCATGCCACCACGGAGTCCCTTATAAGGGAAGCCACGGGGGCACCGTCACAGGTAAGGGAAGCCACGGGGGCACCGTCACAGGTAAGGGAAGCCACGGGGGCACCGTCACAGGTAAGGGAAGCCACGGGGGCACCGTCACAGGTAAGGGAAGCCACGGGGACACCGTCACAGGTAATGGACACTGCGGAGGGGGGTGACATGGAGGGATGACAATATGACAGGTAAGATACACGTCCTAGGCAGCATATCATGGAGACACAGTGACAGGTGTGTGGTGACAGGCAGGTAACCAGCCATGATACAGGCAGCCTCACACATAGATCACACACAGCTCTCTGACTCTCACCCCCTTGAGCGGTGCCGCTCTGCCCGCTCCTCTCCCTCCTCCCCGGCCTTCTCTCCGGCCGTTCATCTTTCCAAAGAGTCACAGCGATCACCGGCTACTTCCGCGTCCACTGTCACGTGATCCCGACAGAACTACAACTTCCGGCATCCCTCGGGCCGAGAGGAGGGGCGGGGCATCCCAGTGGGTGTGTCCTGTGGTCGGTGTAGGCAGGTGAGGAGCGCTCCGAGAGCCGCGTTTATTGATCACGTGGTAGCTGGTCCAGGTGAGGAGCGCTCTGAGGTCACGTGTTATCCATGAGGAGAATTTTTGGACATGTCAGAATGTTAAAATCACATCATTAGTTTGCTGTATAAAAATGAACATCTGAGCCGCACCTTGTCACTGAAATCCTAGGTCACTGCAGGCTTGTGGGTGTTTCATGTTATTAGAGTCCATTGAGTGGGGAATTAGAACCCCTGATTCAAGCCCTCTTTTTAGGAGCTTCCATTGAAGTCCATGGGGCTAAATGGGTGCAATTCTGCCTGAAAAATAAAGCTCCTGTCCTTTTTCGTGGAACAAATACCACAACGCTCAGGTGTAAATAGGCACCATTGAAAATAATGGGATCCTTCATAATGAGCTTCAACGTGTTTCGGGGGTAACACGAGACAAAACACAAAAATACACAAAGTCAGGGGGGAACCCGAAATTCTGAGCCGCCACCAGTATAGGAATAGAGGGGAAATCTAATGAGGACACTTGTTACCATGACAACTGTCTAAGAGGGGATTTCCCTCACCTTGGAAAGATATCCTCTCACTTCCTGTTGAGTCTATAGGACAGGAAGGGGAGGTAAATGATGGGTCTATTACTCCTAAAGTATATAATAAAGTGGCTTCCCTAGTGTTTTTGCCGCCTAAGTGGGGGAGGGGGTGCGGTGTTGCGCCAAGTGACGTCACTGGTTTCCAGGAGCTGGGCAGGGCGTAAGCCAGAGCGTCCCAGGTTGCTAAGAGATGTGGGGAGATATTTATGGACTTCACACATCTACCCGCCCGGCTCTTAGCAACCTGGGGCACTTTGGCAGAGGGCGGCAGGCACCGAGCAAACTTTGTGCAGCAGAGCGGCCATGTTGCTCTGCCTGCCGCGGCCCCCCCGAACTGACCCAAAGGGATGTCTCCCTGACCTCTGAGGTGGAGACTAGTAACGTGCGGGGGGCTTGATGAAAACCAAGTTCTCCTGAGCCTGTGCAAAGCTGTCAGTGACACATCCCCCTCCAGGCCCAATCAGTTGCGGCCCGGGGCATCCCCCACCCCTTTAATACATGCCCCAGAGTATGGCCAGTTTTACAGTAGATTCTGCTCCTTCGTGTGCTGCATTTGTCCCAAGCTCTGCATTCCGCAGGTCCATTCAGTGCTAGCAAAGCTTTCCCCTTACAGGGGGGCCCCTTTCCCCTATAGGGCCACCATTGCCTGCATTCTCCCAGTCGGGAGTCAACCTTAGACCTTTTTCACACAAGTGGCTGAGGGACATTAAAAACAGCAGGTTGCTCCTCATTTTTACTGCTCCCCTGCTGCTGCCTGCAAACATTAGCATTGCAGCCAGGCACTGCTGTACACATGGCTGAGGACGGGATGCTTTGCATTTATTTCCTGTGCTCCTCGGCTCCATCTAGTGGCTATAATGCAGTGTTACCTCACAGTACCATCAACCCGAAAAGGAAATAGATGAAGAACATTTTGACAGTATTCGCTCTGTCACAGATATTGGCAGGGCAAAGGACTCTGCGAATTGTTCATAAATGGACCTCTAAGTGCAGTGACTGGGGTTTGTCTGCACATGATCAACACCAGTCACAGCGTGGGCACATTTCTTTTTTCCTGTTAGTGACGGAATTATCGCCATAGTGACCCAAGTGACTATGGGGTCTGGGGCACAGGGGGGCCCGGCCAGGAACAAAGGGGTCCCCCTGATGCCGCGCGGGTCGCTATGGCAGCGCAGGCTGCAGGACTGTCACTGGCAGCTGTGAGGAGGAACGTGTCGCAGTCCATGTCAGTGATCTGCAGTGGCGCGTTCCTCCTCACAGCCGCTACTGATTTAGTGACAGCCAGCAGCTGTGGTGGAGGAGGCCAGGGCCCGGCGGTGGCGGTGTAGGAAGCGGCCGGGCCCGGCGACGGTGGAGGAGGAGGAGATGGGGCCACGTACATGATACATGATAACAAGTATAAGGCCTTATTGACACGAAAAACGGCCGGCACGTAAGGCTCCATGCTGCGTGCACGGCCGTATCGGGCCACTACCAGGAAGGACAGGTGCTGCGTGTAATTAGTACGCAGCCCCTGTCTTTATCTATGGGAGTACACGGCCGTACGCCGCCCTACGCTGACCCCAAGTGCAGGTCTGTGCGGGTGTCCCCGGCTCGGACGCAGACAGGATCTATCCTGTCAGTATACGAGTACGGACACTTGCACCCGCACGGTCGTGCAGGGCAGGTGAGCGTAGGGCGGCGCACGGCCGCGTACTCCCATAGAGAAAGACAGGGGCTGCGTACTAATCACACGCAACACCTGTCCTTCCCGGGAGCTGCCCGATACGGCCTGGCACGCAGCATGGAGCAGTACGTGCCGGTCGTTTCTCGTGTGAATGAGGCCTTACGGTGCGTTGGGCTCCTCTGTACAATGCGTTGGGATGCTGTTCACAATGAATGGCACCACAATGCACAGCAAGTACCGTAGAGCAGATGCCACAACGCGCAAGTGTGATTGGGCCCTCAGAACAAGTGTGATTGGGCCCTCAGAACAAGTGTGATTGGGCCCTCAGAACAAGTGTGATTGTGCCCTCAGAGCAAGTGTGATTGGGCTCTCAGAACAAGTGTGATTGGGCCCTCAGAACAAGTGTGATTGGGCCCTCAGAACAAGTGTGATTGGGCCCTCCGAACAAGTGTGAATGGGCCCTCAGAACAAGTGTGATTGGGCCCTCAGAACAAGTGTGATTGGGCCCTCAGAGTGGCATCAGAAGATTATAATGACATTTTCTCTTTTTCTCATTCTAGATACTGAAGGACGATGAGGAAGAAGAAGAAGGAGAGCAGTCAGTGTATTGCACATGTGACCTCATTCCTCCAGAGCTCTGTGATGTGTTGCTCAGCGGGGATTATAGATCGCAGTTGATCCTCCTCCTAATCTCGTCATATAAGCCCAGTTCCCCCTTTTACGTACCCAAATCCGTGCTCAGGGATGGGCCGAGAGTCCGTCTTCAGGTGTCCACGGCACTTTCATTTGGCCTTCCAGCAGAGGGGGTCATTCTTCTTAAAGTGGCCATACCCTGTGCGAATTTCGGCTGGTTCTTGAGGACCTCAAATCCAACTAAAATAAGGGAATGTGAAGCACCTGGTGATTCTGTGAGGGTTGAATGGTGTTTTGTTTTTGGAGGATGGTGTATACTACCAAGGAAGCAAATCTCCTATTTAAAGCGCCGGTGCCACTTTCAGGTGTCTAGACCAGTAATCCAACGCTGCAGTCTGTGTTGGCGCCAGCCAGTCCCTTCTTCATGATGCCCCCACGCTGTTCAATCTTCTGGAACCTGAGAGGACACCACGAGAGAGCATGGAGCCGCTTCCCGGCCAATCAGGAAACCGGGCAGCGTGTAATGACGCAGCGCCCGGCTCCCTGATACAGGAAGTATCGGGCTAGGCATCGGAGCATACTCAGTATCAGCACCGATATCGATACTAGTATCGGTATCGGTGCATCCCTATTATATACTATAATGCCATGCGACTGATCCCTGATTTTGCCGTAAGCACCTGATGAAGGGGATCCCGCGAGACCCCGAAACGTTGCACTGAGTGTGATTTGCTGTATATACGTCAGTAAATAGAAGTATCTGATTTGCATTCGGAGTGCCGGTGTCCATATTCTTATTCAATCAGCTGCAGTGACTCTTTGGGTACCAGCTGCCAGAATACAATAGAACAGCAAGGGAGATCCCCCCCCCCTTCATGCGTACCAGTGTGGAGGGGGGAAGCGAGTGTTTTTGCTAAAAAACTACATTTCTATGAGCAGATATGTGACTTTTTGAAGGGAGGGGAAGTTGATGCCCGGAGAGAACTCCAGGTGATATGCTGGCAATTCTGGGGTACAGCTGCCTTTCATGTCTGTCACACTTCTACAGTCCCTATACAGCCTTGGTTCTCAACTGGAGGGTCACGACCTCATGCTCACTGGGTCGCCACGTGCCTTCCACTTTTCTAGGTGAGAGTCTCCTCAGCCTCTCCCTTGCCCAGCACTGTCAGTTCTCTCACCAAGCAGCCATTCAAAATATGCTGCCCGGTGCCGAGTGTCAGCTTGAGGTGGGATGAGATGGCGGCTAAGGCCGCGAGGGAGCTGCTATGCTGTGACAGAGCTTCATCCATATGTGCGTTGCTTTTCAGCTCCCTCACGTGTCCTGTAGAGGTGCCTGGACCGGAGTGACATTTTGGCTCCCGCCACCTCTACAGGCACGCAAGGGAGCGATACAAGCAATGCACACATTAATAAAGCTCCATCACAGCACAGCTGCCCACACTGGATCACAGGCTGAGGATCCACTCCAGTTTATGTAAGTAAGAGAGACTGGGTGGAACTTAAAATATATTTTGGAGTGTGTACCCTAATTCCGTGCATTCCATTGCAGTGTGACTTGGGTCGTGACCTTATGAACAAGGGCAAATGTGGGTCCTGGGGATACACAGGTTGAGAACCACTGCTATACAGTATTTATTCTAAATGTGGATTGATCCACCGACACATCTTGCATTCAGATTGTACAATCTCTGTTCAGTCTCCTTTAGGCCCCGTTCCCACTGCGCGATATGCAAATTGCGCGTTTGTGGTGCGATTTGCATATTGCACGATATCGCAAGATTTGCCGCGCGACATCGCGTTCAAGCTTGCATTGAGCAAGCTTGAATCGCGGCTAAATCCGCTCCAAAAAGGGTCCTGCTGTAGCGACACACGACCCGCGACAGCAGGACCCTTTGCCCCATTGAAATGCATTGGAGCGCAATATCGCGTGGTAATTTGCCGCGATATCGTGGGAATTACCGCGTGATAAATCGCTCAATGTGAACGGGGCTTTAGATGTACCAACAGCT